TCAAACTCGAGTTTCGTATAATTCTACTCTTCCCTTCGACGATTCATCTCGGCACGAACGAGCATCAAGAAAAAAAGCTTTTCATGGGTAATTAGCTCGTCTCGTTCGTTGAATTTAAATTTTGAGAAAATAAATGGTAAAAGAAAATTGAAGAAGTTGCCAAGAGGAAGTATGGAACAGGCTATTATGGCCTGGCCGACAGATCATCGTATCTCTAATGACTTTTCAGACAAGATCTAGGAGTCGGATCTTTTTTTCCTTTTCTTTTTTCCCTTTATCATTCCATCTAACCGCAGCATCTACAAGCTTTTGCGCGTCGGTTCCTTTTGGTCCTGATTTAGGAAAAACAGGATTAAAGTTGTGTTTCTTTCTTTTTTTTTTTTTTTTTTTTTTTTGGTCCAAAACAAAATTCTTACTGGGTTATAAATTTCGCCAACGTTCCCAATTATATGGATTCTCGCGCAAAACACGCAGTAATTCACGCATCGAGGAACAAATAAATTGACTGGCGAGCTTGTTTTTCACGTGCTCATACGCGTTACGTCCGGAAGTAGGTCGTAATTTATAAGGAACGAATTGAAATTAATAAATCTTGAAGAAGTGAGCGATCTCGAATCTCTGATATTTCACCAAAAAAAGAAAAAAAAGTCTAATAATTATCATCAAACGTTTAAAAGAGCGATACCATAAACAACAACGCGATTCCCCAAATTCGAGAATAAAATTCGTCGAATTTTCGAAAAAATCAACAATTTCACAATCCCCAAATTTATCTTTATACTTATCGATTCGACAAAATTCGAGAGGAAAAACGGAAATTGACCATCGGCCACGAACTCGACGATACACTCACGCAATTAAGGATTAATTAAACGTAACGAGTGCAGGGGGAGCGTGACTGATGAACGAATAGAAACAATGTCTGGCCTTGTTGATGGGCCTCGTTCGTTCGGCCAACGATCGCGTAGATCGTCGTCGATCATTCGCGTTTCTCGATCCTGTAACCGTGCTCCCGCGATGAAAGTTCTATCGCGGCACCTTAGATCGATGGTCAGCACGCCAATGTACTACTCGGTTCGTTCGAGAGATTGCACGCGAGAGATCGTTAATAATCCGCGCGTGTACCGTTCGGATGTTGAAAACGGATTGGAGAGAATTTGCGGATCCCTCCCACCTATCGTTTCGATCCGGATCGAAGGATAAATTTTTAACTTGGAACTTAGTCGATCGTAGAAGATAAACTAATACTCGATCGATGCATATATTTTACAACCCGAATTTTTAATCCATAAGAGTCGATCTGGATTGAAGGTGTAACGTTGATTTCATCTGTGTGTAATGAATAAATAGATCAAATCCTTCGAACGAAATGTCGAATTGATGAGATTCCTAGCAAAAAAATTGTAACAACGTTCGATTCCGGTTGATTCGAGGCGAAAGGATGAGCGCGGATACGCGTGGTCAGGAGGCCCGTGATAAAAATGAGGGGCCGAATTCGGTTGAAAATGGTGGCGGGCAAAGTCGCCGGTGTGGACGATCGGTGCGCAGAGGGAGAGAGCGCGGGATCGATGTGCGCGCTGCAAGAAAACGGGTCGTGCTGTTAGTAAGCGACAGAAGGTGGATGGAAAGCATCATTCAGATGCGCCTTCTAAGTGCACCGAGGAAGCCACGAGTCAGCCTTTTATGATGGTTATTAATATCGAATAGTCAGCCACCGTGGCCATTACGGGACGCATAATGGGACGCCATTTTTTCCCGCGACAATGAGGCACCCCGTTAAACACTCGATGCGTTTGCATCATTCAACCGGATGATTAAGCTTCGTTAATATATCCGATATGGCGTTCAGCCACGAACAAACGAGGAGCGGCGCGAAACGAAGTCGAAGTCACCTTTCGTCCGATTCAAATTTCCCTCCATGTGCGCACACTTGTACGCGCTTTGTACTTTCAAAATTGGATTTTTCCAATTTCGATATCTTTGTTCGAAGAAAGGTATAAAGATCGGAGATTAATGTCCCTTTAATATTCGTCGAATACCTGCCGAGTGAAATTCTTGTTGTTTTCGAAAGAAACATCTTGGAACGATTTATAGATAAACGGTTTGACACAGCGTCACAGCAGTCGACAACACAGCAGGCACAAACCGGGCGATTGTTTGTGGATACGTTTTCGCAAACTGGTCACGTTCATTTCCGATTTTGGTTTATTATTTCAGAGAGATTATTGGGAATTTTAAACTTGTCGTTCCGGCGAATAAGCTGTTGAAAGCAGGTAACCAAGCATAATTCCAGTAGTATGCTAAAAGCATTTGTATATTATTGTCTCGAACTAAATAGTGTCGTGGAATAATTTTTTTTCCTTTCAACCCCAAACTCGTCCACCGAGACAAATTAAAACCAACTAATGAGACGAGAGAAAATTGGAACCAGCTATTGATCTCGGATCGTTCACTTATGTCTTGTCGAGATGTCTCCCGAGATGAAACCCGATCTCATTCCCTCGAGAATTTCCAATGATCGAGAAAATTTGATCGGAGCGATTTGATTCGAATTAATATTAAAAATCCTTTTAAAGTCATTTAATAATTCGACAAAGGACATACGAGATCCGTTAGATGGTCAGGACTCTGGGATCATTAATTTTCTCACTTTTATGATAATCCTTGAAAATAACCATCTAAATTTATAGTCATCCGCGATAATTTATTGTTTCAGGACACCGTTAACAACACTTTCCCCCTTCGTTGGTAAAACAACTATCTTTCACGATACGTGCACATACTCGCCTTGCTCGCCTTTTACACGCCCGTTTCATCTGCTCGCGAGTCTCGCGAACACGCCACGAACAACGCGAGAAAAATTATCCGCGGGGCAAACTGGCGGGGAACGGTTGAATTTTGACAATGAAATATATATATTTATGGAGCCGCTTTAATTCCCGCGCGCACGCGAGCTTCCGCGTCGGATATCACGCGGCCGATCACCCGGAAGCGGAGAAGAAAAGCTGGAAACACCGGTAATTAATCGGCGCGGTCCACGACGTAGCAAAGGCGAGCAAACTCGGTTAATTGGATAAGCAAACGAGGAAGGAGGCCTGTTAACCGGCTGCCCCGTGATTATTATTATGTACACGAACGCGTGCATACAAATTTTATCAAAGGCGGAGTTAAAGGGTTAAACGGTCGGTGGAGAAGAATTCCCACCTTGATGATAATTTATAAACGAGCGGCTCGCGTGACTCGTCGCCTTCCCATCCCGACCGGAATATCACAATATTTTCCCGCTAATCGTGCGAAAGGCAAAATCGCTCGCTCGCCCCCCACTCCATCCACGCGGGAAAAAGAAAAAGTGGAAGTAGAATGAAGGCAGGGGAAGGGGACCGCGCGTGCATACACGAGCTTCCAGGGTGTTTGGTTTAATGTTTAATCCTGTCGAGTTAGTCGGTCGAGTTGGATGGGGGAAGACAGATGACAGACGAGTTTCGAGGAGCAAGAAGAATCGACGATCCTTCGAAAACGATCTTTCTTCGTAAAGATCTACTTGAAAAGAAAAGATTCGTTGTTAGATTCGTCCCCCCCTCCTCTCGCCCCGTTCGAATCCCCGCTGAAAATTTAAAAGGCACTAATAAGTAGTAGGAGGCACTCTACTCTAATGCGACACGATCCCTTCTCGACTAGTTATTCTCGACTCGAGAATAAGAGAAGAGAATCCAAGAATACGATCCACGGAAGCAACAGCGGAGGAGAAGGATTTGGAAAAACTCGGTGGGAAACTTGGCAAGTTTTGATCTCGACGCGGAAGATGATCGAGAAGGTCGCGAAGGAGGACGGTCGGACGTAGCCAGCCTCCGAAAGCCGTGGGGGCCATCCTCCCGCGATAGGCGTGCGTGAAAAGGCGGAGTTCCGACATGCGCCTTGCCGCGTTTCCCGCCCATGGAAACCGGTTAGATTGGCGAGAGGCCGAGGGGGTCGTGAAACGGGTCCCCAATTGGCAGTGGTCCCCACAGTTCGCCAATGGAACGCTGGTAACCGCGGCCAGGGAACGGCTGGCCCGCCACTGGCCGCCGAGCTTACGATTGCGTCAACCGTGCAACGGGTGGCCTTGAGTGGGGGTAGGGGGTGTTTCCAAGCGGGCTGGCAGCGCGCGCTCCACCACGTGCCGGGAGGCGAAGGGGAGGGGAGGGAAGAAGGGTGGCTGGCGTGCAGGCACGAGAGCGAAAGAGAGGAAGGGATGGACGGGAGAAAGAGAGAGGGTAACAGGTTCGTAAGCGCCGAAATCGGCCGAGTTGCTCCTCGGCGGGAGCCCAGTGCCGAGTTCTCAGTCCCGCTGTGAACGCAGCAAGGAACGCCACGGATGTTTCACCCTCCATGTTCGAAGACGTGTTCGTCACTGTCGCCGTCTTCTTCTTCTTCCTCTTCTTCTTTTGCTTCCTCCTTCTCCTCTTCCACCGTTCTTCTTCTTCTTCTTCTTCTTCTTCTTCTTTTTCCTCCTCTTCCTCTTCTTTCTCTTGAAACATGCACGAGAATCGTCGGTGTCGTCGATAAATTCGCCTCGGTTCAGACGCGGATCAGACTGTCGCAAACGCGGTGAGTGTTGTTGATCGCGAAGTGTGTCGTTCGTCGCGGCCGATTCCGGAAAAATTGTCCGAGATATCGAAATCCCGAATTCCAAGTTCCACTCCGCGTCCCGCGAACGATCGCAAAGTGAATCTATCCGAAGTGAGATAGCCCGAGAAGAGGAAGAGGGAGGGAAGGAAGGAAGGAAGGAAGAAGGTGAGGGACGTCGGATGAATGTCGAGGAGAAGGAGTAACGAACGGGAGGAAGTTGCGCGGAGTGAAGTTGTCGCGAATGGACGTACGTATCCGGTGTACGTAACATCCAAGTGTATGATCCTACTCGCGGCCAACCGCGAACCAACGACGACGAACGACGTCTCGAAAAAAGATTTCGCGATGGTAGGTGATCCTCCCGCCGTAGGCGAGACATGATCTCGTTTCTCGGCTGACCGGATCGAAACGGAGAGACAGAGAGAAAAAGAGAAGGAAAAAAAGCGATCAGGATGATGAACGCATTCCTGGATGGCGTGTCCTCGCATCCGCACCACCTGGCCAATCTCGGCATCAAGCTGTCGCCCAGCGGTGGCGGTGGCGGTGGCGGCGGCGGCGGCGGCGGATCAACGGACACCGGCGCAGGTGTCCAGCCGCCACCGGGCGACGCCCCGTCCCAGCAGCATCATCACTTTCACCCCCAAGGATATCCCCCTCACCACCCCCATCCGGCGTCCCACATGGCGCCCCACATGGGCCACCACATGAGCCATCATCCCGGCTACGCGGCCCGCGACTTCCTTCTGCGCCGCGAGCACGAGTTCAACGCGACCGCGAACCCAACCACGCCCGAGAGCGGGCTGGGATTGTTCACGCCGCTCCACCACGACGGGACGGCCGCCTCGATGCAGCAATTCTCCCATCACCCGAGCCAACATCCGGCCCTGGCGGCCGGCCACTATCCGGGCCACTATCCCCAGGACTCGAGGCTGGCCCCTCACCACCAGTACTTGGGCGCGCCCCATTTGACCCCGGCTTCGATCCATCATCAACAGCACTCGGCCGTCACCCATCCGAGCCATCATCCCCACGGCGCGTTTCTCAGGTACATGAGGAGCAACGGCGGAGGGGGAGGCGGGGGCGGCGGGGCCGGTGGAATCGGCGGCGGGCAGAGGCAGGAGATGTCGTGCATGTGGGTCGATCAAGACGCGCCCGGTCCCGGAAGGAAGCTCTGCGGCAAACTCTTCAACTCCCTCCACGATATCGTGACGCACCTCACGGTGGAGCACGTGGGCGGTCCCGAGTGCACCACGCACGCGTGCTTCTGGCAGGGGTGCTCGCGTAACGGCAGGGCCTTCAAGGCCAAGTACAAGCTCGTCAATCACATAAGGGTGCATACCGGCGAGAAACCGTTCCCCTGCCCGTTCCCCGGCTGCGGCAAAGTCTTCGCGAGATCCGAGAACTTGAAAATTCACAAGAGGACGCACACCGGTGAGTGTTTGTATCTTGCTTCCTTCTTCCTAAGTTCCGTGCCGCGCACCGGCTATCGCATCGCAGTGTTAAGTTCTTACGTTCATCTCCCAACTTGTCTTCTCCCGGGTTGGTGAAAGAAATACGGTCGAGTTTTTGGAAGAGAGAAAAAAGTATCTGACGTCGCAAGAGTGGAAAAAAGATCGAATCGATTGAATTCAGGACGAGATTAGGAATATACATATATATATATATAAAAGGAATATCGGAATAAAGGAAATTGTTATTCCAACGACAAAAAGGATTAGGACAAGAGCTAGAGACACGTAAATAAATAATTAACGGCCAGGGCCTGAACAATCGCCCTTCCCTCTCCTCTCTGTTTTGGCCCGGCCTTCGTTACGAGAACGCCCCCGGCGCCTCCACTCGTTTCAATATAATCAACCGGCTGTTTACGATGACAAGAATTTTTCGGGGCGCAATTAAGAAATTACCGGGCCATATATTGTGCCGTTTTATGCCCTCGAGTGTCCCTGGACAATGTATTTACACACGGTATACGCACACGTGGAACGACGGTCGTGACACGAGTCGTCCCATTGGCTCACGGGGCCCGACGGACAGACGCCAGGCGTCCACCCATCCAGTCGCACGGATCTTTCTCTCTCACGACCGCGGCTGCTGTTACGGGATTCCTTTCTGGACAGTCACTACTAATTTCACCTTGTAGTTTTATTGTCCAGTCGTCCGTTACCACGAAACACCGTGTCTCCTTGCCGTATAATACTGTTCTTTCCTTCTTCCTTTCTTTTCTTTTTTTTTTTTTTTCCTTCTTCCTCAATTTTATCCTCCTGCTTCGAGGAGGAGAATATACACGTCGTCCCGCGAACGAATCCTCCTCGTGATTTCACGAGGAGGACGGCGGAGTAAATCCATTAGCGGCTACATCTGTCGCTGGCCTGTCGTCGTTAATTGATTATACAACTTGTTTCGATACAGCTATGGGGATTTTCCATGGTTACTATACGCGCGAGGGGACGTTTGAACGCGTCGCGTGTTCGCTTCCAACCCTTCGCCGCCGCGTTTTGGTCGCATCAAGAATGACGAGAATTTTTCGAAACCGATGTAAAAATCGGAATGAAATCTCCCCATTTCCGTCTCTTGGAAAAAATCGATTGCAATAATCTCAAGCGCGAAGGGGTCAAGTTGGGAGGGATTTCTGAAATTTTATTTATAACGCGATATATATAAGATTGGTGCAAAGTTCACGAGTTTTCGTACGATGAACCCTGTTGTGTTCTTTAACGATCGCCTCGAACGCCGCAAGGGAGAATTCAATTAAGGGTCTCGGGGGGGAGACGCAATATTGTATCGCTTCTGATCGCGTATTTCAACGTTACCACGGTATTTCCGTTCGCACGAATTTCACGCCTGCATCGTGAACTCGATCGTCGACCCCCACGCAACGCGTTCCTATTTCGAATCTTGCAATTCGAAACTCGAGTTATCCTTTAATCGTGTCCGACCAACGCGGCCCCAATCCACTGCATATCGATCGCCTTTCGAGCGAAATCGACCCGTCCTCCACAACAAATTCTCTACCATTTACCTGAAATCCTTTCAGCATGGAATATTCCATCGAAAGTTTGAAATTCCCAACGTCTTTCACAGACTCCGATATAAATATTAAATTCTTCTCTACGCGAAACGTGTAACATTGATTGCCACTTGAAATATCTGCTCTGCTGTCGATTGAAAAAGAGCATTGCATTTTGTAAACGAGAATCGTGGAATTTATTCTCATCTCGAGTCGATTCGAATGGAAACACGGGGAAAGGGGAGAGGATTCGATCGAAATTTCGATATACAGGCGCGACGTTCTTGCATCATCGAGGCCTCGAAGATTAGGGTCCGACTGCGCGAGGAGAGAAATCAATTAAAATTCATTTAGTTGGCGCGTCGTTCGGTGGCCCTCTTCCGACCCCCTTATTTCGAAATAAATTGGCATTTTCAAAAAACGCTCGCACGCACGGGTTCACGCTTTGTTTCCAGGCGTTCCCCGTTTCACGCGCGTGTACGCTCACGATGCCCCTTTATTGCCCTCGCCCTCCACCCTTCTTTCATCGTTCCTCGCACCGCCGCGACAAAAGCGAGTTCGACGCTGGAATTCATTGTTTTTTTTTTTCTTTTTCTTTTTTCTTTTTTCTTTTTTCCATCGTGGAAACAGCTCGGACAAATATTTTGCCCCGCGCGTATTCAACGATGTTGTTTGTGCAACAATCCGAACGAGGTGAATCCGAGAGGACCGAGTCGCGTAATTTCGTTAAAAAAAGGTGATAAAAAGTATCGTTGAAATATCGGGGAGAGAGAGAAAGAGAGAGAGAAAAAAGAGCTTCTCGTAGTGAATTCTGACCGATGCTCGAGGGAAACTAATGGACGGTGATGCGATAAAAAAGTTCGTGAAACATTCTCAAGAAGAAGATACTTGGACAAAGTATCCGGGGCCACAAGTTTCTTCGGAACTTTAACAACGGCGCGACAAGTTATTCCGAAGATTTCCTCTCTGTTTTTACGCTCCAAGATCCCGACAGTGTTCTTCTGTTAAAACAAAATTAGAAAATATAATTCTAACTGACTAACTAATGTTAAAAATTATGAATTTTACAAAAAGACGGAAAAATAACAAGTGTGCCTTCCAATTTCAACAAAGTTCAAAAAATTATTGTTACCGCCAAAGTGAAATTTCAATTGTATTAAAAAAAGATATACCATCTTCTTAACTTAATCCATCCTCGATAGATTGTAAATTATTTCGAAATAAAGACATTCTACAAAACGCAGATATTCGTTTTTCTTCTCACCTCCATTAAATCCAATTATCGAACGAGATAAAGATGATAAAAATTACTATCAATCTAATCTTCCGTATTATATAATCATCCATCGAATGATCGCGTGCGTTAAAAAACCTGGTCTGGTATATAAGTAACGTTTCCTATTAATCCGCAGATGCGACCCGTTGGAACGGTGTCACCCATTAGGCGCAAATTGATATGCATTATAAAGAGGAGACTATCCTCGTCGACAAAGAAGGATGAGACGAGGAGAGATAAAAAAAAAGATAGAGAGAGAGAGAGAGAAGCGGAAAGAAGAATAGAAGTCTGTAAACGCGTCGATCGTTGCATGTGCGTGATACGGGTGACGCGACGATTGGTCGGATCGACAATGGTATCCCCCTTTGGGCGAAGCGCCATTGGTCAGGATTTTCGGAGGGTTAGAGACGCGTGGAATAAGGGGATGATACGGGATGAGTCGTCGACCGGGGGGTTGTTGTGGAATAAGCGTTAAGTAGGGGCGAGCGTGTCGAGGAGAGAGGAAAAAAAGGGGGACTCGGAGCGGGTGAAATGGCCTCGCCGCTCAACGAAAACGATCGAATATTTTTCTCCGAGACGACGCCGCCTCTCGTTTTCAGAATCGAAGGAAATTTTTACCAACTTGATTATCCTCCGCCTGCCTGATGATCCGAAACTTGGCAAATTGTAAATCGTAGAAAGAAGAATCGATCCGAAGTTTAAAATCTTTCTACGCTTGCGTTGTAATCGAAAGTATAATAAGAATAAGAAGGTACACAAGTATAATAATATTCCGTGAACGAAGGAACGAACGCGTGGAATAGAAAATAAGCGGCGTTCCAAGGAAGAAAAAGAAGAAGAGAAGGGAAAGAAAAAAGGATGAAGGGAGGAGGACGACGAGTGGTGGAAATGGGGGGACAGGAAGCGGAAGAGTGGCGAAAGAGAAAGGAGGGAAGGATGGGGCGGGGGGGGGGAAGGGAGGGAGGGAGGATGATATTTGCGGCGGGAGTATAATCCGAGGAAATCGACGACGATCGACGACGCAGTAAAGCACCGTTCCAAGGGGGGAACATTGTAAGTCTGTTGGTAACTAATGGCGGCCGGCCGTCGAGATCGGAATCGGAGATGCATGATCGGATTTATGCGAGGCCAATATGGAAAGCCGGGCCGGCTATTGTGATAAGGCGGCGTGACGTCGACAGAAACACGCTAAACCGACGTTCAACCCCCACCTCCGATTAGAATCGAGATTCCAGAGCCGCGCATACAAATTATTTTACCGATATCGATATATTCGCGGGACACGTGACGCGTCTACCGCCGCGACAGCTTTCCAATTATGAATATTAATGTTGCGCGCCATTGGCTGCGATTCGAATGAGTAATTAATTATCGATCGCGCGATTCGTTTAACACGGAATTCAGCGAATTCTCGATCGATGCAAATCGATTGAGATATCACGATTCGAAGCTTACGATATAAATACTCGAGATATTAAAATTGCACGATATCTTCTACGCTTGTGAACGACGTCTCTCTCTTTCCATCGATCGGAATATTAAAATTGGAGGGTATTTTTTATGCTTGCTACAAACTATTCTCATGGACGATGTATTAAAATTGGAGAATGCACGCTACTTTTTATATAGCTTACCACAAACTATTCACCAATTCTCGTGGACGTCGATCGGTCGAAAATCAAAAGAGATTAAAATTGGTGGATATTTTTTGTGTTTGCTACAAACTATTCGTGAATTCTCATGGACGAAATATTAAAATTGAAGGATGCACGATACTTTTTACGCTCGCTACAACCTATTGATTTTCATCGATCGAGATATTAAAATTGGACACATCGTGTATGACACGTTCCACTCTTGGTACGAGCGATACTCGAACGATGACAACACGTCGAGGCGAGACGTCGAAAGCGCATCGAGATCTTTCCGCGTGAAATCATCCGATCGGATGAGCGGATTTTCGAGCGGATTTCGATTCGGAGATGGAACAAGAGCCGACGGCAAGGCAATGGCGAGCGACGGTGATCGATAATCGATCTCGTTTAACGTTGCTCCACTGCTTAACTGCTACGATTTCGAAACGCTCTGTCGGCGTTCCCTCGCTTGATCCTTTCTGATCATTGATTTAAAGTAAATCGGTGTCGCGAA